TTGGAAGCCCAGAAATTCAATATCAATATCCAATCCAAATAAATAATCCAACTACTTATTGTTGCAGATGTTGCTTTACAATCAGAGTTCCAAGCCTCCTGGCTGATGGCCTACGAACTGCAAGAAAAGGATTTTCATTTAGGCTTGAATCTCTAGCCCTACAGCGATCATTTATATCCAGTGCCGATTTGGTGGTGCTAACCGATATGGCTTCATCAATGACAACACTAGATCTCACTTCATGTGTCAATATCACTGACGGGTCGCTGCTCGGTCTGCTGCACAATCTCAGGTACAGTCCTTCTTTCGAATACGAATACAGCCTTGTTTGCTGCGGATGATAGGCGTGTCAGCAGGGGCTGCAGTTGGCATGGCGTTACCCCGTTCTACTAATTGTTGAAGCGGGCAAGCGACAGCTGTTGGTGAGAAACGGATTTATCCCGTGCCCAACCCAGCCCCTCTCTTGAATGTCGTTCCAGCGTCTGTAGCGCAGGACGTTAGAAGCTTCGAACTCACCGAGGAGTCGAACAAAAGGCAGAATTGCTACCTGCAAAATTCCTATCAAAAGACACATGTTAAACCAACGAGTTTTCGTAAGCAATTTTCCATTGCTGATGTAGTGCAAGTACATCTCACAGTAAATTACCTGCTCAATGACAGATGACGTTTCATAAACGTCGCACAACACATTAGTGACGTATGGAAAAATGTCACTGACGTGAAACTCTAGCTGTATAGGTTTCTTGGTCAATGAGGTGTTATATAAAGAGTTTCCTCCCAACTCCTAACAAGTATCACATGTATGCTACACCTGACACTTTTATGGAGACAGTACATCTGATCTTACAGCGTGTCTAATTGATTAGGGAAGTATTGGGTTTAGCCATAATAACTCGGTATCCATAAGTATGAGAAACAATTGCTCAGCAATATTTTAGAATAGTTTCTGATACCTTTCGGGTCGAACAACTTTTGTTTCTGTAGCTTCTACAACGGAACGGTCATGTGTGCGTGAATGATCACTTTTCACTTCAGATGTTTGTATCTGGGTAACAATCGCGAACTCACTGATGATTCCGTGCTGGCCATATGTACGGGCTGTCCGCGGCTTCAACGGTTATCGCTTGACAACTGTGCCATGCTCACAGTGGAATCACTCCTTGGTTTAGGTAAGCGTACAGAATATCTCGTCACATTTCTATCCAATGTCTGAAATATCATAAGATAAAATTTGTATT